GTTGTGACTTTTACAAAAATTTTGTTTAATTTTTAAATATTTAAAAATTGAAATAATTATAGATTCATGGAAGTTTCAAAAAATATTCAGAGAAGTCCCAAGCGCTCTTCACCCTGTCTTCTCCACTGTATCTAAACCAAGAAATTAGTATTGCTACATCCGCAGAGCTTATTTAGATTCACAGTTTTACATGCACTGGTGTGTGTATAGTTCTATGCAATTTTGCATATGTACAGATTCATGTATTTATATACATCCTATGTATAGATTCACTGCCACAATCAAGATACACAACTGTTTCATAACCTCAGGCCTTCCTCATTATACCTGTTTGTATCCACACTCATCCCCCTCCCTATCACTAACCACTGGCAGTCGATAATCTGTTCCTCATACTTACAATTGTTACTCCAATAATGTTATATAAATGAAATTATATAGTAGTAACTTTGAGGTTGTTTTTCCCTCAGTGCGAGTAATAAAAGCAGGAAATCTAAAAAATATATATATATATTCAGAATATACTTCATATATATGCTTGTAATTATTAGTTAAATAAATTTTTTAACTGTTTAATGTATAAAAGGAATAAAATTTATTTTTATCAGTACAGTTCTATATTTTATTACTAATTTCAGTCTGTTAAGAGTTAAAATGGAAAATTCCCATTGCTTCTACTGCTTTGACTCACTGATAATGGGACTGGTTTGACACTAATAATAAAATGCCATCATGTTGTTTAATGTTTTCTAAGTTCTCTGCCTATGCTTAATTTGTTCCTTTACAAAATTTAGCATAACCTCCTGATATTTACATTAGATGGAATATGAATCATAGATTTGCTTTCTTGGTTATTATTTCACATTTTAGAGTGACAGACTCTTTCTGTCACCAATCATTCTTAATTGAATTCAGCAGACTAGGTATTAGGGGATACAAAGATGGAAAAATACAGCCCAGCTGGGCATGCTCAGTGGTTGAGCATCGACCAAGGATCCAGGAGACTGCGGTATGATTCCCGGTCAGGGCACATGCCTGGGTTGGGGTCTCGATCCCCAGTTGGAGACGTGCAGGAGGCAGCCGATCAGTGACGCTCTCACCATTGATGTTTCTCTCTCTCTCTTTCTCTCTCTCTCTCTGAAATCAATAAAGATATATATATTTTTAAAAATACAGTCATTACCCTTAAGATCCATCCTGATTCCTGGGAGAGATGATAGCATACAAGTAGGTGTATAATGTCAGTCAGAATGTAAGCCTATATAGGTTCAAAGGTATGTGGAAGTACAGAAGAGGAGGAGAGCTCCGAGGGCTAGAGGAAGGGGTAGCACTGACCTGAGCCGAGACGGGAGCCGGCAGCAAGCAGGGCCGTCTCAGGGACAGGCAGGACTCTTCATGGAATAATGAGTCCTAAAGTAAGGTAGTAGTGAGACCGGAAAAGTAGGCTGTGGCGAAGGGGTGATAGATCCCTGAATGCTAAGTTACGGAGTTAAACAGGATTCTCAAAGTACTTGTGAACCTTTGAAACTCTTTAAAGGGGAAAACATAAATATGAATTTGATGGTAGCAATGAAATGACTACTGACTGTCCCAGGCTTTTTTTTTAATCCTCACCCAGAAATATGTTTTTTTCATTGATTCTAGAGAGAGAGGAAGGGAGAGGGAGAGAAAGAGAGAGAGAAAGAAACATCAATGTGAGAGAGAGACATCGATTGGTTGCCTCCCGTAAGCCCCCCAACTGGGGATCAAACCCACAACCTGTGTATGTGCCCTGGCTGGGAATCAAACCCACAACCCTTAGTGTGCAGGATGGCGCTCTAACCACTGGGACACACTGGCCATGGCTGACTGTCCCAAGCATTTTAAATCTAAATTTGCTATTCAGCACAAGAGCATGATGCTGTTGGCCTATTCAGGATGACATGTAGTTTGTTTCTTTCTCATTAGTAGTTGGTACTAAGCTATTCATATGTTTTCACCTGGTCCCCTTTTATTAACAGAAGTGAACTAGGCTGGCAAGTTCAATTTGCACCTAGAACATGAGAAATTAGTTGGCCTACCAAGGGGATTAACTTTAGTTCCTGGCTTCATTAGCTCTGTAGTCAACCAACAGAGCTAGACTCTAAATGGAAATTGCCATCTGTCCAAATAATAATAATAATAATAATAATAATAATAATAATAGATAAAAAGATACACATTTTCAAATATAATTGACTCCATTATATATTTTCTTCTTAGAAAAATCATGTGAAATATAATCCCCCTCACTTATAAGAATATGGGATCTTAAGTCTCAGAACATAGCCTTGAGTATAATTTACAAGTATGTAAGTTTGCCAGAAAAAAATGAAAATTTTATTGATATTTTGGTGTGTTAGATGCATGGGTGTTAATTGCAACATGATCATTACTGGTCTCAAAATTATTAGTTTTAAATGACTTTTACAAAACTTAGCTAATCTTTATAAAAATTTTCCTCTGCATTTTTTTATAGTCGGCCATTAATTATTTACTTACTGCCAAGTGCTAAGTTAGCTACTTTATATACTTTGCTTCATTGAACCCTTTTGACAGCTTCCCAAGATGTGTATTGTTCGCTCTCTTTTCATTGATGAGGTATCTCACCTCATCTCATCCGTAGGGGGCAGAGCTGGGTTTCCAAGCTTGTGCTTCAAACCCTACTCTTAACCAGTCCCCTGTCTGCTAAGGATACTGTGCATCGTAGGTACTAAGGGTAACATGAAGGCACTGTGTAGCTTGGAGTTAAATGGATTCCATATTAAATTTAATTATTCTGGTTCTTGTCACTAATCAAAGTGCAATAGCCTTTTAAATAAGCTATTAGCTAGGATCTTTTAAGATCCTGTCAAACTAGTTTTAACAGAATGAGCTGAATATTGCTCCCTCAGTGCCAGTAGTACTACCTTCCAGGCTAAATCTCCCAGTCGTTTTAACATTTAACATAAAAACAAAAAATCTGAATAGCAGCTAGTATAATCACATCATTTTGCTTGTCTCCTCCCCCCAACATCAAGTTATTACATACTATTTATGACATTATTAAAATCTTAGTTACATTTTTAATAGATTAAAATTTAGATTTTGCAAATTGTTTCAGGTTATGCTTGCTGTAATCAAATATATTAGCTGTTTTATGTGGCCCCTGAAGGTAGATACAAAACTGTTATGAATTGCATTGTTATCAGCCTTTCCAGACTTATCCGTGGTTCACAGTGATACATCAATATGATCAAAGTCAGTACCTGATGTCTTTGAAGAGGAGTGCTAAACTACTTGTCACCACATTTTGCTTTTCAGTGAAATTTTTTGCTTCCCCCAATCCATGTCTTTAAGCCTTAGACCCTACCAAATAGAAGAGGGAGCTTTATAAGCATAGATAGTGTAGTTAAAACTTAGGATATTAGAAAATGTTAATGTTTCTGGATTTAATAAATCTTTGGATCAAACAAAGATTAAAAACAGGCCATAATTTGCATCTTAACAAACCTAAAACCGCAAGTTAAAATTTGAGGAGTTTGCTCAGAACCTAGATGCTACAAAAGCTAATTTAGAAATTCACATGAGCCCTGGCTGGGTGGCTCAGTTGGTTGGAATGTCGTCTCATACACCAAAAGGCTATGGGTTCAGTTCCTGATAGGGCACATACATAGGTTTCAGGTTTGATCTCCAGTCCAGGTGGGTACAGGAGGCAATCAGTGGATATTTCTCTCTCCTTGATGTTTCTCTCCCTCCCCCCCCTCCAAAATCAGTGAAAACATATCCTTGGGTGAGGATTTTTAAAAAATTAGAAAGTCATGTGGAAATCCAACAGATAAATGAAGGGACTCAGCAGTGTAATTATATTGCAGCTACTAAGTGAAACAGACTGGAAAGCTGCCTGCCCGGCCAGCTTCTTCACTGCTGTCCCTTGCCCCACTGGATGACTGTCACTTCTGGACTTGGGAGTCAGATCTTGTGTTGAGCGTTTCCCACCTTCTCTCTCATCTGTGTTAGATGCCACTCCTTGAGTTCCCCCAGCACCTCATGCCTTGGTCTTTCCGACTGTGCTGTTATTGAAATATGCCTCCCCTCTACTTTAAGCTCTTTGAGCACAAGGACTGTCTTTTTCATCTTTGTATCCCAGTGTCTGCTTATGTGGTGTGTGTTGGGTAAATTGCCATGATGCTGTTTGAGTTCTAAAATCTTTGACCTCTAAAACTTTCCTGTTGTCTAAGAAAACCAGTCTACCCCTACAACTGTGAGGTCTTGGTTTACTTAGCACCCTATCAATTGGAAATCATTGTAGTGTACTGTGGGAGGGACTCAGTGTTGATTCCTGACTGCCCTTCACTAGCTAGATGACTGAATTAATTTCTGCAGGCTTTGGTCTTGAATCTTTTAAGTGAAGGGTTTGACTAGATCTCCATGTTCCATTAAAGCTGCAAAGCTCTGTGGCCTAAAGGCAAAAGAGTACTGAAAGACTAGTTGACTGGTGGACAGAGCGGAGTATCTTCCTACCAACCACTGACTATGGTTACTAAGTATTTGCACATCTCTACAGTTCCCTGAAGACATGTATATGATGTGCTGGGGCAAAACAAATACTAAAGTAACTTGAAATCTCAAATATTACATTATGTTCAGTATAATTTGTTAATTATATTTTGCTGTGTTCTCATTATTTGAAATTGATTCATGTGTGATATATTAGATTAATCAAGATACTGTTTCCTCATCATCCTGGTTAATAGAGTGTTATGGAAAATTACATCTTGAAAATATTTGAAATATAAAAATATACTCAAAAAAGATAATTTGAAGTATGTTGTGTCAGTCAGTGTATTTTATTTTGCCTCAAGAAAGTTTAATAAGGAATATTAAATAAATGCAAAACAATAGCAACAGTTTAAACTTTAACTTTTGGATACTTTTTATTTTCTTCATGATCAAGGATTCTGATATTTGATGTTTGTTCTTTTGACCTTATATACTTTCAGCGCATTTAGAAACTAGTTTTGAGGAGGTAGAAAACCACCTGCTGAATCTGGAGGATTTATGTGCACAGTGTGAATTAGAAAGATACAAACACACGCAGTCCCAACAACTGGAAAATTACAAGAAAAATAAGAGGTGAGTTTGAAAAATGAGCTACAGTATTAATTTTCAATCACAAAGTTTTTCACAGTACTCTACATGCTACTTTTTATAAGTTTGGGCTGATAGAAAACAAATGTTTCAAACATAAAGCTTATGAATAAGCTTTCCAAAACAGGATATATATATTTTTGGTACCATTCATTATCTGTTGCCATTTTATGAAGATGAGTTCTGAAAACTAAGGATAGAGTGAAAAGTGGAGGGGAGCAGGGTAGTGGACAAAGCCTTCCACCAGATTAGTTGCCTTGACTTTGTTTTCCCCAAGTGGAAAATGCCTGAGTTGCTTTTTCCCTTTTCTTTCCTCTCTCCTTTTTTATTACCAGAGCAGGAGGAAAAGCAACTTTGAGCCCAGGCTGTGGAAAGGGGCTGGATGGATTTGAACCTCAGTCTTGTCACATACTGGTTGTAAGACCTTAGGCAAATTATTTCATCTACTTTAGCCTCAATATCTCTAATTTATAGTAGTGAGCATAATAATGTACCCACATCACAGAATTGTTGTGGGGATTAAATGAGATAATGGTCATCAAATGCACTAAGTGCTCTGTAAGTATAAGTTGTTACACGGATTATTACCTATAGGCTGACCTGAACAGGAGAGGGAAGAAAGATCTACGGATAACAGCCTGCTGAACTAACTGTGGCATACCAGCTTGTGCAATGGCATCGTGGGCTGGGTTGGGAAGATGCAGGGCAGGTCCTCTGAAGTCCATGGGGAGGTCCACAGTATGGTGAGAGTGACTAAGACTGTCGTCTGGGCAGAGCAGGAAGTAGAGGGGGGTTGATAATGAAAGAAAACAGAAGTCATGAGGTGGGAGTCTGGCTGAGGCTGAAGAGCAGATTTGGTGGGAAAGGAAGAGCATAGGTTTGGCAGAGTATACTTTTGATTTTAAGATGATAAGTTGAGTAGTTCTGGGTCTAGAGAAGTACTGGTCCCTGGCATATAGGAGGTAAAAAAAAAAAAAAAAAGCTAAGCCCTGGCCAGGTGGCTCAGTTGGTTGGAGAGTTGTTCCCATGCACCAAAAGGTTCAAGTTCGATTCCTGGTCAGGACACATATGGGAAGCAACTGCTCATCCGCTCCCTCTCTCTCCCTCTCCCTCCCCTCCCTCCCTTCCCTCCCTTTCCCCCCTTCCTTCCTTTCCTCCCTCCCTCTCCC